TGCTGGTCTCCTTTTGGTGGTTGGCTCGGCCGTGGTTCATTTTGGCGCGTGCGTGTTATTGGGAGGATGTCAATACCGCATGCGGACCGTGCTCTTGTCGGGCTTTTAGCTGAATTGTCGCTGATACCTGGCAAGTCGATTACACTGCAGGAACTAGTTGACGATTTCTGCCTGCAATGCGAGAATGCCCAGGCATTCATCGAAAATATTATGCAAACTGGTGCAATGTCTGTGTTGATTCACTGTCGTTCGGCTCAAGCTGCAACAGAGCTTCGTGCTGAAGGTTTGTCCTTTCGGGGTCATCCGCTGAAGCTATCACCTGCCCCATGTACGCAATGGGTAAAGTTGACCCGTGTTATGTACGGGACCACGGAGAATACGATCAAATCCCGTCTTTCAGATTATGGCACAGTATTGAAAATCCGTCGTGAACTCGTAAAAGGCATCGGTATTTCCGTCTATTCCATCAAGATGGATTTAAAGAAGCCTATTCCATCCCGAATTACGCTTGATCATCATCCGGTCAACGTCTTTTACCGCGGCCAATCCCAACAGTGTTTTCGCTGCGAGCAAACGGGGCATGTTTCGAAATATTGCCCACGAAAGAGAGTTCCTCCTCCCCTTGGCCCAATTTCCGGCCCAAACAAGATCGTTCTCCCTGTTGATGTCCTCCCAACGGATATCCCTCCGGCCAATGCATCTGCCGCAGAATCGACGACATCTGCTGAAACCCTTCGCCAGGTTGACACTGGTAAACGTTTGCATCCGGAACCTACAACGCAGTTGAAAAAACATCAGAAATCCCTACCTCCTGCGGAACACAAAGATGCCCCTGTTTTAGATGAAGAGGTTCCTGTTCAGGAACCCAAAGAGCAGTCTGAAAAGCAAGCGAAATCCCACCCTGCTGAACAGAATGCCCCTGATACCGTGCCTCTGCCCGAAGAGTCGGCGACTGATATGGTTGAAGATGTTCCAGTGGATTATGTTTCATACGAACAGTCCCGTATAAAGCTCGAAGCCTTTGATGAAATCACTGAGGCTGATCTTAAAGCTATTGAAGATCTGACTGAACTCATCCCTTTGGCTGACCTGCCTCGTTTTAAAAAAGCTTTTGCTTTTAGACACCCCACTCTGTTGACACCTGAAGAACAAGATTTCATTCCTGCTGCTCTTGAAGCAATTTGTACCGCTGCATTACCTCAGAACCTGGATTTTCTTGAAGCTCCTTATTTTACGAAGCCTCCCTTACCGTCCACTTCAAATCCCGATCATCCTGTTACCTATGTACTGTATGAACAATATATGTCTTGGTTTTATGCTGCGCTACTTATGCCTGACAAACTGCAACCACCCTCTGAAAAAGACTTGTCATGCTTAAAAGATTTGGATCCTGAAACTCTGATTGGCTATTTGCGATTCTTTGCTTATAGGCATCCGGAGTATATCGCTGACATTGATGCTTTGGATGATGATTCAAAATGCCTATTATATGAATTAGTAGCCGGTTCCGTTGAACTTAGCTATACATGTTGAACATGTTTTTATTGCCAGATCATTATAACGGTTTCTCAAAGACTAGTGGACAATCGGCTTGCTGGTCAAGTCTAGCTAATAGTTCTTTTGTGAATACTATGTAAATATATCCCGGTAGATCTTATTATTCCAGTTCTTAAAACATGCATATTGCACTTTCATGTATATAGTTTTAAACGTCAATAAATCAAAATAAGATCAAGTGTAGTATCTGTTCTTATCAGCTTAATATCTGATATGTTAGGCAATGCCTAACTCATATATTAAACTGATTTTTGGCCTTCGGCCCTGGGATTGAAGCTTGCTTCGCCCTGGCCACGGGTTGTCTCGGTATTGCACTACATCCGAGTACGGCCCTCTTCCCCTCAACGGGGGAAGAATCAAATCATTTGAATCGAAACACTGAAAACTCGCTCGGTATAAGTAATTTTATCATCTATAGCATCCGATCTAGTAGCTATCTATCTCATATTCAGTCATTCAACCGGTTCTATATTATTATTATTCAATGCAATAACTTAATTGGCATTGTTCTTTCTAAAATTCTGTTTCGCTACAGTTAAACCTCACATATCAACTCACGCCGCTTTCCATCATTTCAGACGAACCGCCGCAGTCGCCGGACTCCTCGATCGATCGGGAAACCAGTTACGAACAGCCGCATTGATAACCGAAACGGCGAACGTACGTACCTGTATGAATATTATTCACTACTGCAACGACGCGGGCGGCGTTAACGACCCGATCGAAACGCTTCGTCGCCACAATTATAAGTCAACGGCGCTGCCACAAAAGCATACTTACCTGACGCGAGAGGCACCTTGATCAACTAGGAGGTCCTCTCAGGATGAGGCCCTTTCATTGCACTTCGACTGGGTTGACTCCTGCGATTACCCCTAATGTGGGTAACTCGAGCGTATAATTTCTGGTAGTGGGGACCTGCGTTCGCGCTCGTCCCCTTCTCCCTTCTTCGTAATTCAAAAGTGAAAAATCGAAAAACAACAAGTCTAAAACGGCGAAGCAGCGACAATTATTAATGTGCCGCCGCCGCCGCCGCGTGCGTGCGTGTGAAAGATAATAACAACTTGACTTGATTTTATAACTCGGAAATCGGAATCTCGGAAAATCGTTTGAAATTCGACACCCATTGATCAACTCTCGCTACCGATCGACGGATGGCGTGCCATTACTGTATATACATATACTACCACCGCTACCGCAGCGTCGAGAGGTTCGTCACACTATATATAACAACGTCTCGGATATCAGCACATACCACAGCACCACAACTCTTGCGAGGCAACACATCGACGTAGATGAATAAATAACCAACTACCTTTCGGAACTGTTGTGAAAGCAAATGACCGAAAAAAACCGCAAAAAACAGCTCCCCTAACCCTAACCCCAACTCTCGACGGTAATGGCTCGGCGGCAGCAGCAAAGCGTGACCGCGAGGACGTCTCGGCAAGCGTAGGCGGCCCGCCGGCCTCGCATCGTACCCGTTCACGAAATAACGAGAGCTGCAGCGACATTGCTTCGCTTCTTCTTCGTGCCGGCGACTGATTCAGCTCGCTCGATCGCACACCAGCAGCGGCCACCGGGTCGAGCGGGCTCGCCGACGCGCAATAAAGTCTTGGTGGCGAGGCGAAGACGGGTTATCGCTTCTCGGCCTTTTGGCTAGATCAGTGTAGAAGTGATTGTTAGTTCCGGTTAATCTCGAAAAGAATATTTGGTAAAAGAAATTTGTTCAAGATCAAGTTCTTTTTTGTCTTGGTCTTGGTTGTCAGCTGGTGGTCCATTCTTCTGGTGGTCTGCTGGTGTCCTCTGGTCCGTGCTGGTCTCCTTTGGTGGTTGGCTCGGCCGTGGTGGTGCATATTGGTTATTGAGATGGCCTCAATACCACATGCGGAACGTGCTCTTGTCGGTTATCTAGCGGATCTGTCGCTGTTACCTGGCAAATCGATCACGCTGCAGGAATTAGTCGATGATTTCTGTCAGCAGTGCGAAAATGCTCCGGCATTTATAGAGAATGTCATGCAGACTGGTGCTATGTCCGTCCTCATACATTGTCGTTCGGCTCAGGCTGCCACTGAGCTTCGTGCAGCAGGTTTGACCTTTCGGGGTCATCCGCTAAAACTCTCGCCAGCCCCAAGTGTACAATGGGTGAAGCTGACTCGTGTAATGTACGGGACAACTGAGAACACGATCAAGTCTCGTTTGTCCGATTACGGTAACGTGTTGAAAATTCGCCGTGAGCTGGTGAATGGTATTGGAATCTCGGTCTATACAGTAAAAATGGATCTTAAGAAACCAATTCCTTCCAGAATTACCCTAGACCACCATCCGGTAAACGTTTTTTATCGTGGCCAGACTCAACAGTGCTTTCGCTGCGAGCAGACTGGGCATGTTTCAAAACACTGCCCGCGTAAGAAGACTCCCTCTCCCGTCGGTCCGATTTCAGGCCCAAGCAAAGTAATTGTTCATGAACCAGTACCCGTTGATGACCCCTCATTTGTTATCCCTCCGATTGACGCTCCAGCGGAATCCACGGTTTCAGAGGAAACCCTCCGTCACGTCGATACTGGGAAACGTTTGCATCCCGAATCCACGACTCAGCTGAAAAAACAACAAAAATCTCTCCCGGTTGAATTACCTATAGACTCCCCTGACACGGTTCCCAAAGATGCTCCTGAAAAATTGCCTTTACCCTTGGAATCTTCGACAGATATGGATGAAGATCCTCCCGTTGATTATATTGCTTATGAACAAACCCGGTTAAAGCTCGAAGCCCTTGATGATGTCACTAGTGATGACCTAAAAGCTCTTGAAGATCTCACCGAACTTATTCCTGTGGCCGATTTGCTTCGCTTTAAAAAAGCTTTCGCTTACCGCCATCCTACCCTCTTGACACCTGATGAAGAAAACTTCTACCCTGCTGCCCTTGATGCACTCCGTACCCCGGCGTTACCCCCGAACCTTGATTTCCTAGAGTCTCCACATTTTACGAACCCTATCTTGCCGCCCTGCTCGAATCCTAACCATCGTGTTACGTATACTCAATACGAGTTCTATATGTCGTGGTTTTATGCTGCGTTGATGTTGCCAGAGCGACTGAATCCGCCCACCGAAGAGGACCTGTCATGCCTTCGAGACTTAGATCCTGAAACCTTATCAGGCTATTTGACTTTTTTTGCTTATATGCACCCAGAGTACATAATGGACATTGATGCTCTGGATGACGATATGAAACTCCGGTTATAGGAGCTAGTAGCCAGTTCCTCTGATCTCTGTTACACATGTTGATCATTGTTTTTATTTCTCGAACTTTTTAAGGTTTCTTAAGAATTGATGGACAATTGACTTGCTGGTCAAGTCTAGCTAATTTTTTCTTTCGAATACTATGTACATATATACTCGCAGGTCTTATTATTACCAGTGCTTAAAATTTACATATTGCACTTTAATGTAAATCTTTAAACGTATAATAAATTGAAATAAGATCAAGTGTAGTATCTGTTCTTATCAGCTTAATATCTGATATGTTAGGCAATGCCTAACTCATATATTAAACTGATTTTTGGCCTTCGGCCCTGGGATTGAAGCTTGCTTCGCCCTGGCCACGGGTTGTCTCGGTATTGCACTACATCCGAGTACGGCCCTCTTCCCCTCAACGGGGGAAGAATAATAACCACAATTTGAATCGAAACAAAAAACTCGCTCGGTATAAGTAATTTTATCATCTATAGTATCCGATCTAGTAGCTATCTATCTCATATTCAGTCATGCAACCGGTTCTATATTATTATTATTCAATGCAATAACTTAATTGGCATTGTTCTTTCTAAAATTCTGTTTCGCTACAGTTAAACCTCACATATCAACTCATGCCGCTTTCCATCATTTCAGACGAACCGCCGCAGTCGCCGGACTCCTCGATCGATCGGGAAACCAGTTACGAACAGCCGCCGCATTGATAACCGAAACGGCGAACGTACGTACCTGTATGAATATTATTCACTACTGCAACGCGGCGGCGGTTAACGACCGCGATCGAAACGCTTCGTCGCCACAATTATAAGTCAACGGCGCTGCCACAAAAGCATACTTACCTGACGCGAGAGGCACCTTGATCAACTAGGAGGTCCTCTCAGGATGAGGCCCTTTCATTGCACTTCGACTGGGTTGACTCCTGCGATTACCCCTAATGTGGGTAACTCGAGCGTATAATTTCTGGTAGTGGGGACCTGCGTTCGCGCTCGTCCCCTTCTCCCTTCTTCGTAATTCAAAAGTGAAAAATCGAAAAACAACAAGTCTAAAACGGCGAAGCAGCGACAATTATTAATGTGCCGCCGCCGCCGCCGCGTGCGTGCGTGTGAAAGATAATAACAACTTGACTTGATTTTATAACTCGGAAAATCGGAATCTCGGAAAATCGTTTGAAATTCGACACCCATTGATCAACTCTCGCTACCGATCGACGGATGGCGTGCCATTACTGTATATACATATACTACCACCGCTACCGCAGCGTCGAGAGGTTCGTCACACTATATATAACAACGTCCGGATATCAGCACATACCACAGCACCACAACTCTTGCGAGGCAACACATCGACGTAGATGAATAAATAACCAACTACCTTTCGGAACTGTTGTGAAAGCAAATGACCGAAAAAACCCGCAAAAAACAGCTCCCCTAACCCTAACCCCAACTCTCGACGGTAATGGCTCGGCGGCAGCAGCAAAGCGTGACCGCGAGGACGTCTCGGCAAGCGTAGGCGGCCCGCCGGCCTCGCATCGAACCCGTTCACAAAATAACGAGAGCTGCGGCGACATTGCTTCGCTTCTTCTTCGTGCCGGCGACTGATTCAGCTCGCTCGATCGCACACCAGCAGCGGCCACCGGGTCGAGCGGGCTCGCCGACGTGCAATAAAGTCTTGGTGGCGAGCCGAAGACGGGTTATCGCTTCTCGGCCTTTTGGCTAAGATCAAGTATTTCTCGATAAATCTCGATAAATCTCGAAAAGAATAATCTTTCAACTTTGGTGCAAGATCAAGATTTGGTGCAAGATCAAGATTTGGTGCAAGATCAAGATTTGGTGCTGTTCATTGGTGATCCATTCCTTCTGGTGGTCTTCTAGTGGTGGTCCCCGCTGGTCTCCTCTGGTGCCTGGCTGGGCTGTGGTCGCTGGAAATCATTCCTACGGAATCTACGGTAGTGGTTGTTCCTTATAAGAAGAGGTTTTTGTGTCGGTTTTGTTCCTGTCGAGGGGCCCTAACGGGTAACTCAAGGGAGGTGGTCTTTTTCTTTTCTTTGTTGCTGTCCGGTAAGTCGGGTGGTCCCGAATCCAGGTTCGTAGTAGTGTTTTCGTGTGATAGTTTGGTTGGAGTGGCTACTCCACAACTTTATTATGATTCCGTACATCAATAGATCATCGGATTTGATTTTATCTGATCAAATTGAAGTGTCTAGAGTGTCTGTTCGGGAGATTATTGATGATCTCCGTAGTGTTTATGATAACTTTTCTGAACTTTTTGAAGCCGTTGTTTTAATCGCTCCCGGAAAGTTCAGAGTTACCTGTTGCAGTGCTCGCAAGTTGGAAATTGCTTTGAATACTTGTCCGACTGTTCGTGGCTTTCCTGCTGAATTCGCGCCAATTTCAACATTCAAATGGGTACAAGTATCACGTCTTTCTTATGGCATCCCTGATGCTGCTATTTCAGAAGTCTTAGGCTCTTTTGGTAAGATTCGCCTAATTCGATCTCAACAATATTTGGGTGTATATACCGGTGTTCGAAATGTATTAATGGAGATAAAGCATAATATCCCAGCTCGTGTTCGAATTGCTGGCCATTGGTGTGCTATTTACTATAAGGGACAGAAAAAAGTGTGTTTCGAATGTGGCGAAGAAAGTCATATTAGCAGAGACTGTCCTACAAAACGTGTGCAAAGTGATAGTGAGGTAGTGGATCCTCACCTTATTGATTCCGAAGGACAAAATTCCCAAATTCTGGAAACTGTAACATCAACTGGCAATACCGACCAATCTATATCTACAGATGTATCGCAAATGGTTGATGAAATGGTTAGTACAGTTACTGTTACTGATAACGTAGCTCAGTCTACAGCTACTACGGAGATAACACAATCAGTTGTTGAAGAAGTTCAAGAAGAACAAAACGTGATTGATAACGTAGCTCATTCTAATGATCAGGTGCCTCTACAAAAGGATGTTAGTACAGAACATTCCGCCTCTTCACAATATCCTTTAACAGAGTCTTCGCAAAATAATGAAGCGACACAATCAGCTTTGGAAGAGCAAACTTCCCAGCTTCAAGTCATTGAAACCGAGCCACAAACGAAGCGGCGTCGTAAAGTTTCTAGCAGAAGGAGTCGTTCCAGAAGTCGTTCTCCTTTGCATGATACGGAAGAGTTGGGAGAATCCGATTCTAGTTTGGATAACCTCTCTTTTAGTACTGATTGCGCCAAAGATATGGATACTGAATCTGCTACGGTGGATTCCACTATTGAATCAGTTGATTTTGGTTCTGCTGATTCGGATTCAAATCTAGACACCCCAAAGGACTCACGTACCCAGGACTCTCCCTTATCTATATTCACCCCGAATCTTCCTTGTCCGACTCAAGAAAGAAAAACCTTTAACAATGGTCCAGATGATATCTTATCTGAGGAATCACGCTCGTTTGTTGCTATTTTTGAGCAAAACATTGATGATGTCTCCGTAATAGGAGAATCTTCGCATTGAGGATTCTTTTTAATATCCTTTTTTTTGTTTTATGGACTTAAAAACCTAAACTTCAAGAGATGGCTGATCACAATGACATTTCTATCATCACTTTGAACGTACAAGGTTTGCGTTCTGCAGTACATCGTTCTACGTTTTTTTCTTGGCTGAATTGTGTGAAAAGTGACTTTGTTTGTCTTCAAGAAACTCATGCGACGTCCACGGAAGAATTTGAGGCCTGGATAAAGGCGGAAAATTTGAATGGTAATATTTCTGCCAAATATCGAGTTATATCTTCACCAGGGATAGCACGCAGTAGAGGAGTAGCCATCTTGTACAAGCCTTCATATGAATGTCAAAAAATGACTCAAGACAATGAAGGTCGTGTTGTAACAGCAATTTTTTCCGAAGTCTCTAGCGGATCCTCACCTTTCCAACTAGTAAATATTTATGGTCCCAATCGTAAAGCTTTGGGTGAACAATTCTTTCAAGATTTGACAGAGTATTTTGCTCCTACAATACCTGTTATTCTTTCTGGTGACTTCAACACCGTGGTGAATGCTGACTTAGATCGTATAGGATGCAACCCATCATCACCTTGGGCATACAACTGGCCATCATCGCTGGAACATTTGACATCTCAGTTCAGTTTATTAGATGTTTGGCGATTGAAACACCCTGACGAACGAGCCTATACTTGGCACCGCCCATGTGGTACTCAAGCATCTCGTTTAGACATGTTCTTCCTTTCCTCCAATCTGGTAGAGATGGTCAACCAAATCGATATATTACCCTTTTTCCGTTCCGACCACTCGTACGTATACATTCGTTTTACACCTCCCTTTAAACCTAAACGTGGCAGAGGTACCTGGAAAATGAATTCCTCTCTCTTGAAAGATGACACCTACGTATCTATGATTAAAGAATTTTGGACCGAATGGCGTTCTGAAAAAGATTCCTTTCCCTCGCTTTCTCTGTGGTGGGATGCTGGAAAAAATCGTATTATCGACATTACTCGTACATATTCAAAATTTATAGCTACAAGCAAAAAGGCAGATCTCTTCTACTTGGAACAACATTTACGTGATCTTGAACAAAAATTGAACGATGGAGAAGATGTTTCCATCAGTATTCAACAGGCAAAAGACAAAATTGAAAGTATCTATCTGCATCGAGCAGAGGGAGCAAAGATTCGCGCGAAAGAACGTTGGGCTGAAGAAGGTGAATCATCATCTAAGTTCTTTCTTCGACAAGAAAAAGTGAAAGCGTCTAAACGTATTTTCAATGGTATTAAAGATTTTCGTGGAGTGGTTGTTCGGTCTGCATCATCAATATTACGAGTCTGGGTGCTTTTTTATGTCCAATTATTTACGTCCATTTCCCTGGTTTCTTCGGAGAAAGATTATTTCATCAATGGACTAACTCAATCTTTATCCGAGGCTGACAAAGAACTATGCGAAGGTCCAGTTACAGAAGCAGAGTGTCTAACTGCACTCAAACAGACGAAGCGAAATAAATCCCCAGGACTAGATGGTATTCCTTATGAGTTCTACATTACCTTTTGGTCAGTCCTGAAATCAGATTTTGTGCAAATGCTTAATGATTGTTTTCAAACTGGCTTTCTCCCGTTATCGCAGAGAACTGGACTCATAACGCTTTTATATAAAAAAGGTGACCGTTTGGAACCAAAGAATTGGCGTCCTATTTCCCTCCTCTGTACAGATTACAAGATACTAGCGAAAGTCCTAACCAACAGAATGGTATCAGTTATCGCTAATGTTGTTGATGCTGCACAAGCCTGTGGCATTCCAGGCCGTAAAAGTACAGAACATATTCGTGCATTGAAAGATATTGTTGACTATGCCAATTCAAGTAACATTGGTGGTGCTCTGTTATCTCTAGATCAAGAGAAAGCATTTG